CAATTGTATTAAGCAAAGTTTTTGTTGTGAAGTCCCTGTCAAAGTTTGCTCTAGGAGATGTGCAACCCCAATTGACAAGTTTTGAGTTCTGTCGTTACCTTAAAAACTTGCACACAATCGTGTAAAAACTCTCCAATTTCAGCTGCATAGATAGGATATTTGATTTTGCCGCTTAAACCAGCGATAGATGATCAGAACACAAGGAACAAAGAAAACAAGTCAATAAATTGTGTGAGCTAGAAATAACCCCTAACCACATTCTCGCACAACAACTGACTGATGGTGCTATAACTCGAAACTCGTTCATTGACGTACATGCAAGACAAAGGTATCAAATCATGTTGGTCCATGTATTGAAACTTAAATTACTGTTTAAAACACTTGTACATGTACATAAACAAAAATGTGTTTATTGTATGTTGGATTTTTAAGGTATGACTTATTTTAGACATTGATGTACCTTTGTCATTTACGTATGTTTTTTTTTTTCATTTCAGTTTTGGTATGATACATGATGGAGAAGGGAATGACTGTAGTAAATCACGTGGTCATATTATGTCACCGACAATGACAGGAAATAATAATGGTATTTTTTCATGGTCACAATGTAGCAGAGAATATCTTGAAAATTTCTTGAGGTAAGCTTTTTCATCATTTCCTTGTACAGTAGCTGTTATGCGACACTATCATTGTTCTGCCATTGTTTTTACTATGGAAATCGAATGCTATACACGATTAAAAGTGTAAACATTGCACATGGTTGTAACTAGCTGTATTACAAAAAATGCTCTATGTGCAAATATGACATGTAACTTTGTTAATCTAAAATGTATGTAGCCTCTGAATTGGCTTATATCATTTTTTGTTGTGTGAGCCTTCCCTATGTTCTTGGAAATTTCTGACAATAGTGGCTTATTATCATCTTCAGAGCTGTTATTTCTAGAGGGGCACAACTTAGATAACTCTGAACAAACTTGCTCAATTTGTTGAGTTGTTTTAGGGATAATGATACAACCATGCAATAACCCATTGAAATGCTAATCGAATAAAATGTTATGGTTTAATGTTTCAATACAATATCATGTATTAATCCTATACTTTGTGTACTTGTCATGCATTATTTGAAACTGAATAGTACAGCGCCCTCTAGAGCTAAATAATTTAATTCTCTCATTTTTTGTGGTTGATCAATACAGTTTTATGAAAGTCTTTGACTGATACTTTGTGAATATAATAGTTATTGCTTTACAAGGTCATATGTGAAAGAAACAAATTGTGGTCACAGACCAAATTGTTAAGATAAACATGACATTGCTGTATGTTGATTATGGAATTAATACTAGTATGGAACTCTATAAAGGTAAAAGTAAAACATGACCCCTTCAATTAGAAAATTTGTTCCTATTTAAGTAATGAGACAATGTGTCAAAAACTATATTTTTAAAAAATAAAAAAAAGGGAGAGTATTAGTTTTGCTAATTAATGGGTAATGAATTAGGGCAAAAAGAAATTTCACAAATTTTAGGAAATTAAAAAGAAAAGTTTTAAATATGGGTTAATGAATTTTTCAGTTATTTTTTTTTCCTAAATTTGTTACAAAAATTATCTCATATTTCTAAACTTCGTCATGCAGTGTTTGAATTCTGCATAATGAATGTTTATTTTCTATGCACTATATAGTTACCTAGGACCCACCCAAACAATTTGTTGACTTTAGATAATTTATGTACATTTCTTTGTAGTTCTTCCAAAGCAGTATGCTTACTGGACCAACCTGCTGCTATTACTGGCTATGAATTTCCTGCCAAGTTACCTGGGGAACTCTACGATGCTGATATGCAATGTAAATGGCAGTTTGGAGAAAGTGCTAAACTCTGCACTTTTGACTTCGGAAAGGTATCTGCATGTAAGCTCTTTATAGGTATTTCTTCAATGTTAGATGTCTGACTTGTGTAGGTATACCAGTATCTATCTTTCTTCGCTGTCTTAGATATCTTATATGTATTTCTTTGTCCGTAGTGAAAATTGAAAATAACAAAAATATTCTTTGTAAATTGTAGAATACATGAATTCATGCGATAAGTAAGTATAATCTTTTCACCACCAGTTCTCTCTTTTCATCACAAATTCACAAAATAGTCCAGTTTATAGTCTGCACTTTCCTTCAGAAGATTTGAACAAAAATAGAAAAATTCAGTCAAAACTGAAAATCCAAAATTAGGGTTCATTTCCAGAGATATTGAAAAATGTAAAAAAAATATGCAGACAAATTTGGGTGAGAAAGTCTGGTGGTGAAAAGGTTAATAATCTCTCTAGTTGGTACTTGCTGACAGAGTCTAACAAATCCCTGCACTGTCTCACTACAAACCTGCAAATAGTCTATGTATACGAAATAATTATTGTTTTCAACATTGTTATTTCTAAAACCAAGTCATTTCTGTTTTTTAGAGTTTGTGTAAAGCCCTCTGGTGCCATAAAAATCAAAGACAGTGCGAGACGAAATTCCTTCCAGCAGCAGAAGGGACATCATGCGGCCATAGTAAATGGTGTCGACGTGGAGTCTGCGTGAATTACGGTGACGCTGGTCCATCTGTAATTCATGGGAATTGGTCGGCATATGCAGAGTATGGTGAATGTAGCCGGACTTGTGGGGGCGGTATAACATACAAAGAAAGAGAATGCAATAATCCCAAGCCTCAATACGGTGGAAGGTATTGCCAAGGAGATAGTAAATCTTACAGAATGTGTAATATACAGGTAAATTTAAGTTACCTTCTCTGAGTAACGTTTTTCTCATGAACTATTCTGTCCTGTATAATAAGCACTCCAGGTAATCATCTCAAATGCTTGTTGATTAGCTTAAAGCGCGGTAGTCGTCGCGCCACGCATGTGTTAGATATATGGGTCTCATATAAACAAAGATGGCGACTTTGACTGTTGTGCAGATCAACAAGTATAAACTGAGACGTTACCAAGCTTTAATTAGGTATTTTTAGGTAGTTAAAAGGTATCGAACGAGTCACCGACGGTAATTAGTGCATGTCGCGCCCAGGTAAAACCTCATACTAGTGATTGCCATTAGAAGAGCACATTGGATTTTGGGTAAATCAATGTTTATCAACACAAATGTCGCACATGCGCAGCGCGCCGACTCTCGCGCTTTAAAGCATGGAACTACAAATCATGGAAAAAACAAATGTATTATGAGGATTAAAATAACATTTGCTTCAGTGAGATTAACTATAGAGGCCCATGACTGTGTTGTTCCTTTAAACATAATGGTTCTTATTTGTAAATAGCTGCTTAGACACTGATGAAATAGATCAAACAATACAATTTGTTTTTCCCTTTAAATACTGTTCCATTCTCTCCTCTTATTATGCTCACTATTCCATATCCATGCTTATATAGAAGGATAAAACTAAAACAAGTTGTGTAGCTAGATCTTTCCAAAACAAGACGCTTACTCTCATTTGCAAATAGGATACTGTAAAGGTATTAATTATTGCTAAATTAAATCTACGTCAACATGTAAAATAACAAAAGATCTCGTTTTTCCTGCCAAGTTTGTGAACTTTAAAACCCAGTGAAATTGGTTTTACAGTATATTGTAAAATTTTAACTTCATACAATAATCACCATTCAGCTCTATGGTTTCCCAATGTATATATGATTATTTTGTTCATTCCAGGATTGTCCCAGCAATGATATTGATTTCCGATCTCAGCAATGTGCAGCATATAACAGTAAACCATTCAGAGGATTCTATTATAAATGGAAACCATACACACATGTAGATAGTAAGTAAAACCAATAGGTTTACATATGGCTGATAAATATAATGGTATTCTTGTATCTTGATCAGAATGATTTTGTTTTTAAATCTTAGTTATACTTTTTAGCTCCGCTGTCGACCTTGTCGAGCGGAGCTCATCATATGAGTGATTGTCCAATGTCGTCCGTGTCAATGTTTTACTTTTTTGACTTCTTCTTGAAAACTATAAGCTATAAGTGTATATATACCTTGGGTAAACCTCTCTCAGATTTGTTCATTTTGTAATGATATCTTTAATTCTCTAATTTTGGTGAATATTTTTGTCATTTTTGGTAAAAAGTGATATTTTCGACTTCTTGTTAAAAATCGCAAGTCCAATTGCTTTGATATTACATATATAGGTACTACATGTGGACCTCTCTCAGATTTGTTCATTTTATGGTGATATCTTCAATTATATATTTTTGATGAATATTTTTGTCATTTTTGGTGAAAAGTGATATTTTTGAATTCTTGTTGAAAACAGAAAGTCTGATTGCTTTCTATTGTTCATTTTCTAATAATATCTTCTGTTCTTTAATTGCAATGTGCATTGCTAACAGCGAAGCTGTTTAAGCCGACAGGCTGCTTGTTGATTATTGCTGCATATTTAGTTCCTTATTTGCATAATTACTTGATATTTTGATTTTTGATGTGGAAAAGTTCAAATGAGATATAGAAGTTAGACTTGTATTTATATGAGGGTTTGTGTTTTACATACCGGTATATACCCAAGTTCAAAGATACACTAGCTATCTGCTAATCTTGGATCTAGACCTTTGGCTCTCCACCAATCACAAGGAGTTCATTTAATCCAATGGAAGTTGTGACTATTCTGTGCATATTAATTAGTTAATTTGCATGTTAATAAGCTGATTGGGTCATGTATAATAATTATAAATAGATATTTTGAAAAAGAGTGGATTTATTTTCACTTGGAATTTATTTTGCTGTAAATATCATTTTACATTCAACTCATCAAATATCAGTGAAAATATATTTCATACAAATTTGCAAAAATTTGCTTTTCAGCAAAAATTAGTTCTAGCACAAATATTTTACAATTGATTAAATTGTGATGTGTGATAAATCTGCATGTTTAAACATTGTGATAATTATATACATAATAATTAGCTACTATAAAGTTATTACGAAGATACCTCAAAGTATGGACGAAGACAGTACAACGGCAGTATTGACCGACGCGCAGCGGAGGTCGATGCGAAAGCGTACTGTCTGACTGCATACTTTGAGGTATCTTTGTAAGAACCTTATTATTATACATCTTTTCCCTTTCAAGGATACATCTTGGAAATGCCGAAATCCAAAAAAGTTTAGAACAGAATCAGCGAACTTCTTTGTATGGAGTCCGGTCAAATCCTGGTGGCAGCCATGTTTGTTTTTATTATTAGAGGACGCTTACGCGCGTAATCATTCCATATTTGGAATTCGCATTTCTAAATATGATATTATGAAAATACCTCGTAAAATACCGCAAAATTACGGCACGCTGTAACTTATGGCATTACGGTGACAGATGTATAATCAAATGTAATTATATACATAATAATTAGCTAATTAGCATACAATATTAATGTCATTTCTGATTCTAACATGTTTTATTGATATTAAACATGTATCTAAGCAACAAGTAGTTGAAATATAATTATACCCCCTCGAACACCGATAGCAAAATGAGGTGGATGCGCAGTAAATTGATACTCACTGTATTGAATTAAACAGATGAACCAAACACAAGATAATAACTACCACAATCTATCTATTTATCTATCACAATTTATCTGTGAAAATCTAAATTTTAATAATAATGCATCTTTTAATATTAGTAAACATACACATGTAAAGATTACAGTTTTACATTGACAACACTCTGATTTCATGAAATATCCATATCAAATACAACATGGCGTGGAAATGACTGGTGCCTTAAAATATGATTCATACATTCTCTGAATATACATTGGCTTTATTTTATTACAGGAAAGGAATCGTGTAAATTGTACTGCATAGCAGAAGACTATGATTTCTTCTTTGCATTGTCTAGTAAAGTTATGGATGGTACACCATGCAGAGAAGATTCACTGGACGTGTGCGTTAACGGGAAATGTGAGGTACCAATGAGTTTATATCCCTGTATAACGTGTATGTGCTTTTGTGGTACCAACTTTACACTGACTTGTGACGTTGGGACCAACATTGTGACGACCCTCACTATTTTCATAATTTATATTAATATTTAATCAAATTTTAGGTATGGTTCAATTTTTATTAATATTAATATAATTATACCATACCTCCCCCCTTTACTTAACCTAAGCTTTGCAAACATTTCTATGTTCAGTCGCGGGATATTTTATTTAATTAAAACGCAATTCTATGTTGAATTGCATTGAAATTGAGTTTAATTAAACTCCAATTAAAACGCAACCCTATTGATTTCATATCACAACTATAATAAAAGTTAATTCAACTATATTAAAAGTTAATCCAATGTGTGTTGTTAAAACGACGGTAAGACGTGAATGTGTATGTGTTAACGGGAATGTGTACCGTTAAACAATCTGTCTAGAATGTGCTGCACTCTCCAGTAGAAGTACATGTGAGCCAAAAATCTCACTTTGTCATATTTCAACTTAAAATTTACCTTGAATGATGAAGACATTATAGTAATTATGTTTAAAGACTCTGAAAACTTGAACTACCAGATATTATGTACTTAATTGTATTTCAATACAGTCTGTTGGATGTGATCATGTGCTTGGTTCTTCAACTCGTTTTGATGGTTGTGGTGTGTGCAATGGGGATAATACTACCTGTGACTTCATAAAAGGTGTTTTTATGGAACAGCCAGCACACAATGGTAAGTCACATTAAGGTTATTATGAATTGAATACTGTCAAACCATAGAATCTAGGGATACTATGAGGTTATTACGATACCTCAAAGTATGCACGAAGACAGTACAGCGGAAGTATCAACCGACGTGCAGCGGAGGTCGATGCAATGGCGTACTGTCTTTGTGCATACTTTGAGGTATCCTCGTAATAACCTTATTATTATACATCTTTTCCTTCCAAGGATACATCATTGGAATGCCGAAATCCAAAAAATTTAGAACAGATTTCTGAATCAGCTAACTTCTTTGTGTGGAGTCCGGTCAAACCCTAGTGGCAGCCATGTTTGTTTTTATTATTAGAGGACGCTTACATGTGTAATCATTCCATATTTGGGATTTGCATTTCCTTTTATGGTAGAATGAAAATATCCCGTAAAATACCACAAAATTACTGCACGCTGTAACTTATGGTGTTACGATGACAGATGAATAATTTTATTCATGTTTAAACAAATAAATCTGTTTACTGTTCCCCATTGTCTTTTAATTTCATTAAGGAAGTAATCTTACTAACAACCCCATGCAGACTAGGAAATACATCAGGTTTCACTCTTTGTACCAAAAACCATAATTTCTAGCTATCTCGGCCAGTGGAATTGGCCTTCCAATTGAGTCTGTGGCACAATTACCAAGGGTAGGGGTCAACCCTTTTTTGTGTTCAGCCTAAGATAGGATTTGAACTTGGGTCTACCAATGCAACAACCATTATGCTACTCATTCTGATGAATCTTTATAAACCCAATGTTAACATAATTCAAATGATACCAAATTCAAACATTGTATGTTTGTACATTGGATGCTGAAACAATCAACATTTAGATGCATTGAAAATCAGTGAAATTATAATATATGTAATGTATATTCTACCATAGACCCTCTAACCCTCTGTTAGAGGGTCTATGATTCTACATATTTTAGAGTGTGTTATTTATTGTGTATAATAAATTTATTTTTATTTCAGACTATTACCCTATTGTAGTTGTGCCTGAAGGAGCCAGGAATATTCTTGTAGAAGAAGTTAATATATCATCAAGTTATCTCGCAATACGAAATGAACATCATGAATATTATCTTACTGGTGATTGGACGGTTGATTGGCCAGGTGAATTTAAAATGGCAGGTACTTCATTTGTGTACAGTAGAGAATATAATAAACCAGAATCCTTGAGTGCACCTGGACCAACCAATGAAGAAATTGTAATTGAGGTAAATACATTATCACACTTGTTATTTGTACAAATTCTTTGAAATATATTTTGTGAGGAATCTGAGAAATGTCTACAGCGCCCTCTAGTGATGAAATTTGTTTGGCAAGCTGTCTGAGAAATGTGTATAACACCCATTGGTGATGAATTAGTTGGGTAAAAATTGTTAACAATGCCTTCAAGTGGGGGGGATTAAGTTTCTGAGAATTGTATACATCACCCTCTAGTGGGAAATTAGTTTCTGAGAAATGTATACAGCACCCTCTAGTGGGGAATTAGTTTCTGAGAAATGTATACAACACCCTCTAGTGGGGAATTAGTTTCTGAGAAATGTATACAGCACCCTCTAGTGGGGACTTAGTTTCTGAGAAATGTATACAGCACCCTCTAGTGGGGATTTAGTTTCTGAGAAATGTATACAGCACCCTCTAGTGGGGACTTAGTTTCTGAGAATTGTATACATCACCCTCTAGTGGGGATTTAGTTTCTGAGAATTGTATACATCACCCTCTAGTGGGAAATTAGTTTCTGAGAAATGTATACAGCACCCTCTAGTGGGGAATTAGTTTCTGAGAAATGTATACAACACCCTCTAGTGGGGAATTAGTTTCTGAGAAATGCGTACAGCACCCTCTAGTGGGGATTTAGTTTCTGAGAAATGTATACAGCACATCTAGTGGGGAATTAGTTTCTGAGAAATGTATACAGCACCCTCTAGTGGGGAATTGGCTTTCTGAGAAATGTATACAGCACCCTCTAGTGGGGAATTAGCTTTCTGAGAAATGTATACAGCACCCTCTAGTGGGGAATTGGCTTTCTGAGAAATGTATACAGCACCCTCTAGTGGGGAATTGGCTTTCTGAGAATTGTATACATCACCCTCTAGTGGGGATTTAGTTTCTGAGAAATGTATACAGCACCCTCTAGTGGGGAATTAGTTTCTGAGAAATGTATACAACACCCTCTAGTGGGGAATTAGTTTCTGAGAAATGTATACAGCACCCTCTAGTTGGTTATTAACTTTCTGAGAAATGTATACAGCACCCTCTAGTGGGGAATTAATTTCTGAGAATTGTATACAGCACCTTCTAGTGGGAATTAGTTTCTGAGAATTGTATACAGCACTCTCTAGTGGGGAATTAGTTTTCTGAGAAATGTATACAGCACCCTCTAGTGGGGAATTGGCTTTCTGAGAAATTATACAGCACCCTCTAGTGGGGAATTGGCTTTCTGAGAAATGTATACAGCACCCTCTAGTGGAGAATTAGTTTCTAAGAAATGTATACAGCACCCTCTAGTGGGGAATTGGCTTTCTGAGAAATGTATACATCACCCTCTAGTTGGTTATTAACTTTCTGAGAAATGTATACAGCACCCTCTAGTGGGGAATTAGTTTCTAAGAAATGTATACAGCACCCTCTAGTGGGGAATTGGCTTTCTGAGAATTGTATACATCACCCTCTAGTGGGGAATTAGTTTCTGAGAAATGTATACAGCACCCTCTAGTTGAATGTTAACTTTCTGAGAAATGTATACAGCACCCTCTAGTTGAATGTTAACTTTCTGAGAAATGTATACAGCACCCTCTAGTGGGGAATTAGTTTCTGAGAAATGTATACAGCACCCTCTAGTGGGGAATTGGCTTCATGAGAAATGTATACATCACCCTCTAGCGGGGAATTGGCTTTTTGAGGAATGTATACAGCACTTTCTAGTGGGGAATTAGTTTCTGAGAAATGTATACAGCACCCTCTAGTGGGGAATTAGTTTCTGAGAAATGTATACAGCACCCTCTAGTGGGGAATTGGCTTTCTGAGAAATGTATACAGCACCCTCTAGTGGGGAATTGGCTTTCTGAGAAATTTATACAGCACCCTCTAGTGGGGAATTGGCTTTCTGAGAAATGTATACAGCACCCTCTAGTGGGGAATTAGCTTTCTGAGAAATGTATACAGCACCCTCTAGTGGGGAATTGGCTTTCTGAGAAATGTATACAGCACCCTCTAGCGGGGAATTGGCTTTCTGAGAAATGTATACAGCACTTTCTAGTGGGGAATTAGTTTCTGAGAAATGTATACAGCACCCTCTAGTGGGGAATTGGCTTTCTGAGAAATGTATACAGCACCCTCTAGTGGGGAATTAGCTTTCTGAGAAATGTATACAGCACCCTCTAGCGGGGAATTGGCTTTCTGAGAAATGTATACAGCACCCTCTAGTTGGTTATTAACTTTCTGAGAAATGTATACAGCACCCTCTAGTGGGGAATTGGCTTTCTGAGAAATGTATACAGCACCTTCTAGTGGGGATTTAGTTTCTGAGAAATGTATACAGCACCCTCTAGTGGGGAATTAGTTTCTGAGAAATGTATACAGCACCCTCTAGTGGGGAATTAGTTTCTGAGAAGTCTTCTGAAATTTGTACTATATTTCGTAATATTTCAAATTGTGTATCTTGTGATTGCAGCTATTACTACAAGGAATGAATCCTGGAGTGAAGTATTTCTATGCATTGTCCAACTCTGACAATGGAACTGTAAAAGAACAGATATATAACTATACTTGGAGTGCTATCATGACGGAATGTTCAGTCACATGTGCCGGAGGTATGTGTCTTCAAATCTACTCTCTTTTTTCATAGCAGTCACGTCATTTGAATAAACATGTGAATAGACTATTTTTCTTTGACTGAGAGATCCTGCGTTAGAAAACGGCAAACAATGACCATAGCATTGTAGTTGCGTTAAAACATTGCATGGGATTCGACAAAGACAGAAATGTCCACACTCAATGCTATACGTATGATGATGATGGTCAATTTTGATGAAGTAAGGATATATCAATGCCATATTCAGAAATTCAAGTTCAAAATTATATCATTCAATTTTTTTGACAGATATTCAATCTGCATTTTTTTGCATTACCCTAGATCTAGAGTGCAGTGTTTTGAGCCAAAATTACCTTTGATTTACTAAATAAATATACACAGAGTAATATACATACAATGTTCATACTAGGCTTATGTACCAGTAACACACCTAGACAGCCAAAAAATACATGGGTAAAAAATATAAAAACATTTGCTACAAAATAAACGATAAAATATTTAGTATTAAGAAATTTAACTTGCTGTTGCTGGTGATAATTTGAGTGACTGTTTACAAGTCAATAATTGTATTTCATAAATCAACTTTTAACTTATTCACCAACAATTCCCTTTTTTCATCACAAATTCACAAAATAGTCCTGTTTATAGTCTGCACTTTCCTTCAGAAGATTGGGACAAAAATAGCTACATTTTTGAGTGGAAACCAAAAATAGGCTCAAATTTTGTCTGTTGGCTCCAAAATTAGGGTTCATTTCTGGAAATATTGAGAAATATAAGAAAAATATGCAGACAAATTTGGGTGAGAAAGTCTGGTGGTGAAAAGGTTAATCTTTCTAGTTGGTACTTGCTGACAGAATCTAACAAACCCCTGCACTGTCTCTCACTACAAACCTGCAAATAGTCTATTAAAAATTATTCTTCATATTATTTTTATATTGGGATGAAACTTCAGTTTTCTTTATGAAAGGGTGAACTTGCCCATTTGTGTATTACCAGTGTGTTTGTTGGTTTGCACGTGTTTACTACAGTGTTTTATTTCTCAGGTGAGATGACAACAATATCTCAATGTTGGAGAGATTACAAAGAACAAGTTGATGAATCGTACTGCGACTTAGAATTAAAACCACACAGTGGAAGTTATCCGTGTAATTTAGAACCCTGTCCCGCAAGGTACATATATTTATTTGTCTTTTTAATAGTTTCTGATGTCTGTGTCATGATCAGAGACAAATCTTATATCGATACATCGGTGTACTGGTACGCAATTCTAAGTGGTAATTGCTCTGTACAGGAAATGCATGCTGTGACATTTTAGTCAGTTCTGGGCATCCTACACCAAGTGGTTGTATCAGAAAGGGTCCATAGCGTTGGGAAAATCCTTAGAATGTCTTTGGATTTTTTGAGGCCTGGTAAGTCTTTGAATTGTCTTTAAATTACAGGAAAAATAAAAAAAAATCTTTGAAAAGTCTTTAAATTCCTCCATAGTTATTAATTGATTTTAGAAAGGTCCGTTTTCTACAGGGAACTACCATATCCTCAGAACTTTGATGATGTTGGCCTGAATTAAGGGTCAAAATGTCTTGGGGGAAAATGCTAGAAAGTTTCTAAAAAGGTCTTGAAAAGTCTTGGAAATCATTTGGTTCTTGGTGCTATGGACCCTGTGCATGATAATAAGGTTAATACAAGGATACTGCAAAGTATGCATGCTCTCAGACAGTACATGGTCACATTGACCTTCACTATGTATCGGTTAATACTTCGCAGCAATTTCTTCATGCAGACTTTATGGTGTCGTTGTAATAACCTCATAATATAATGTACTAATGATGGTGAATAAATTACTCCTGAGACTGACGTATTCAAAGTTTATCGAATGTATTGTTTCGTTTTAAGAGAGAAACCAATACCTATATTTCATATCGTGATATTTATAATAAACTATTTAATTGCTTCTGCACTAGTAAAAATTTAATTACCTATTTGATATTGATGACAAAATAGTCATATTTCTTGACGCATTTCTGTCCATGGCAAATAGCAACATTTCGTCACCATTTGATAAAAAATGACTAACTGGTGGTCATTTTGGCCTTCAAATTTGCTAAATTTGGATTATTTATAAGTGATGTTTCCGTTTTTAGCTGGGTACTGTCTGAATGGGGTGACTGTGATAGAAAGTGTGGTGGTGGAAGACAAAAAAGAAAAGTACAGTGTATTCGACAAATCACACAGACACGTCAGAAGAGTGTTAAAGCAGCTTTTTGTCCCGGAAGTCGACCTCAGCGATGGATGACGTGCAACACGCAGGAATGTCCGCCAAAATGGATCGCTGCTAAATGGTCTCAAGTAAGTTAATGTTACTGACATGTTATGTATTGCTCAATGTGACTACAACATGGCCACTTCATTACAATAACAAGTATCATATGCTGTGTTAATAGTGTGCATTTTTAATGATTCACTTTACAACAAATGTAATTTTATGTTTATATGTGTTTTTAATAAGAGTAAACATGGTAATCCCTATATTCAAAAGTGTCAAATATTGTCCTGGCTACTAAGATTTTGTCAAGAGCATGCGAGTCACGTGACTTGTTGTTTCATTCTTTGCCATCAATACATTCAAACTCTAAACACCATGGTTCCGAAGCTCAAGTAAACAGTGGACGCTTTCAACAGAAGAGAGGCTAACATTAGTTGAATGGCAAACTAAGTTTGGTGCTAGGATTAAAGGGCGGCAGTCGTCGTGTCGCGTCCTGTTCAATATGGGACTCATAGCGACGTATACAATGCGTATAAAATACATTGTTTATTTACATGAAATTTGAACACGCGCTGCGCGACGACCACCACGCTTTAACCTTATTTTGTTTTTAAATTAAACATTAAAATCTACTTTTTTTACTGCCCTGCCTGTCAAGGATTCACATCAATTAAAAGAAAAACACTCTCTCTAATGGGTCATAAAATGTGATACATACACTCAGGTGTGATATAATATTATAATAATTCTGTATTGTATACCATGAAATATGATATTCCTGTCAATAAATATGATATGAAATATTTATGCTGAAAAAAATAATAAGAAATATATAATTAACGATGGCCTTCACTTTTTTTATAGTGCAAAGATACTTCACTCTTCTTCATTTATATTCATCAAGTATATCAATTTCTGCAGTTTGTTAATTTTTAGCTCCGCTGTCGACTTTGTCGAGCAGACCTTATCATATGAGTGATTGTTCGTCGACATCGTTCGTGTCAACTTTTTACTTTTTTGGCTTCTTCTTGAAAACTATATGGTATATGATGTTTTCTTTAATTCTTTAATTTTGTTGAATATTTTTATTTTTGGTGAAAAAAATGCTATTTTTGACTGCTTGAAAACTTCCAGCTTAATTGCTTTGGTACTATTTATGTACCTTGGATGGAGTTCTGCCAGATTTGTTCATTTCATGATGATATATTCAATTCTCTATTTTTGGCAAATATTTTTGCCATTTTTTGGTAAAAAAATGCTATTTTTGATATCTTTTCGAAAACCATCAGCCCGATTGTTTTGATATTTCATTTTTAGGATGATGGTCCACTGTCAAATTGATTATTTGATTATTGCTTGCTTTCATATTATTATTCATCTCAAACATTTCCTGTTTCCTTCATATATTGAATGTCTCCAATACCCTAAAGGTCTTTCTAAGCTTTTTTTTAATGAAATCTTGTGTTTGAATATATTTCTCTCCTCTCTGACTGATGTATAATATATGGATTGCTACAATGTGACACTAATTTTAGTTTTGTCTTCGATTTATGTTTGTTTTGTCTTCAGAAATGTATGTTTTTGTTAGATAGTGTGGTATGTATTTATTAGGTTCTGTTGCAAAATTTGTGACTTTGATGATTCTTATTCAGGTACGCTACAGTACTGAGAATGTTTACAATCTGGTGAAAACATATCACAGGGAATAATTTACTGTATTTTGTTTGCAGTGCTCTGTGACTTGTGGAACAGGTTTTCGTACTCGCAGTGTGACGTGTAATTCTGTTAGCTTGAAGGGAAACCATCGTAGATTACTAGAAAGTTTTTGTAAATACCAACGAAAGCCTAAGATACGACAGCATTGCCAGATGGAACCATGTGCCAGGAAGTCTCAGTGGTTCATTTCTGCTTGGGGAGATGTAAGTCAACAAATCAATATTATTATTTGTTATTAAATATTCAAATCTGTATTAGAAGCTGCATCCCTAATAGAAGCCGCACCTGATCTTGAACCATTCAGAACCAAAAATTCATCATTTCTCATATATGTAGATGCTCTACTACCGGTAGAAACTGCCTCCCCTCTGTTGCATTGTACTATTTCAACAGAGCCACAGTTTAATTATTGTGATTGATTCTTTAATCAAACATGTGGTATTAGGTTTGGTAGAATGGCGTTCTGTCGAGTGGAACTGTTAACCTTGTATGCTGTTTATGCTCTCAGTACATGTTAAAGATTTCCCACAAGATGATGTTTCATTTCTCTCTGTCACAGGGTGCTAGTTGGGTTGAGCTAAGGTTTCAAATTGTCCCAAACAAATGACACCCATAACACCCCTGTGAACTGGGTCCTTTAATAATTCGAAACTTAAGACAGTTGTATAATTTATATGCGACATAAACAACAAGTACACGCTACATGAGTAAGGTTTAAACAACGTACTTTATTCCACACACCTAAAAGATGGGCAGGAAATGCCTGACCCGTTACAAGGGGTAGTGGGGTACACGTTGTTTTGTTACACAAAAATATAACACTAGAAATATAATTCAGTAATAATATTGTAATATTTCCACACGGGGAAAGGGTAGGCAAGAAATGCCAAACCCTCTTTAAAGGGGTAGTGGATTACGTTATACTATTACGGGGAAATGCCTAAATCGATAATGTAAATAATTGTCTAACAAATAGAATCTTGCATGCATGCATAAAACTA